AGCATCAGCATCAGCATCAGCGCATCAGCATCAGCATCAGCATCAGCATCAGCATCTGCATCAGCATCAGCATCAGCATCAGCATCAGCATCAGCATCAGTATCAGCATCAGCATCAGCATCAGTATCAGCATCAGCGCATCAGCATCAGCATCAGCATCAGCGCATCAGCATCAGCGCATCAGCATCAGCATCAGCATCAGCATCAGCATCAGCGCATCAGCATCAGCGCATCAGCATCAGCATCAGCATCAGCATCAGCATCAGCATCAGCATCAGCATCAGCGCATCAGCATCAGCGCATCAGCATCAGCATCAGCATCAGCGCATCAGCATCAGCATCAGCATCAGCATCAGCATCAGCATCAGCATCAGCGCATCAGCATCAGCGCATCAGCATCAGCGCATCAGCATCAGCATCAGCATCAGCATCAGCGCATCAGCATCAGCGCATCAGCATCAGCATCAGCATCAGCATCAGCATCAGCATCAGCGAATCACCATCAGCTCATCAGCATCAGCATCAGCGTCAGCATCAGCATCAGCATCAGCGCATCAGCATCAGCGCATCAGCATCAGCATCAGCATCAGCGCATCAGCATCAGCGCATCAGCATCAGCATCAGCATCAGCATCAGCGCATCAGCATCAGCGCATCAGCATCAGCATCAGCATCAGCGCATCAGCATCAGCATCAGCATCAGCATCAGCGCATCAGCATCAGCATCAGCATCAGCATCAGCATCTGCATCAGCATCAGCATCAGCATCAGCATCAGCATCAGCATCAGTATCAGCATCAGCATCAGCATCAGTATCAGCATCAGCGCATCAGCATCAGCATCAGCATCAGCGCATCAGCATCAGCGCATCAGCATCAGCGCATCAGCATCAGCATCAGCATCAGCATCAGCATCAGCGCATCAGCATCAGCGCATCAGCATCAGCATCAGCATCAGCATCAGCATCAGCATCAGCATCAGCATCAGCGCATCAGCATCAGCGCATCAGCATCAGCATCAGCATCAGCGCATCAGCATCAGCATCAGCATCAGCATCAGCATCAGCATCAGCATCAGCATCAGCGCATCAGCATCAGCGCATCAGCATCAGCGCATCAGCATCAGCATCAGCATCAGCATCAGCGCATCAGCATCAGCGCATCAGCATCAGCATCAGCATCAGCATCAGCATCAGCATCAGCATCAGCGCATCAGCGCATCAGCATCAGCATCAGCGCATCAGCGCATCAGCATCAGCATCAGCGCATCAGCATCAGCGCATCAGCATCAGCATCAGCATCAGCGCATCAGCATCAGCGCATCAGCATCAGCATCAGCATCAGCATCAGCGCATCAGCATCAGCGCATCAGCATCAGCATCAGCATCAGCGCATCAGCATCAGCATCAGCATCAGCATCAGCGCATCAGCATCAGCATCAGCATCAGCATCAGCATCTGCATCAGCATCAGCATCAGCATCAGCATCAGCATCAGCATCAGTATCAGCATCAGCATCAGCATCAGTATCAGCATCAGCGCATCAGCATCAGCATCAGCATCAGCGCATCAGCATCAGCGCATCAGCATCAGCATCAGCATCAGCATCAGCATCAGCATCAGCGCATCAGCATCAGCGCATCAGCATCAGCATCAGCATCAGCATCAGCATCAGCATCAGCATCAGCATCAGCGCATCAGCATCAGCGCATCAGCATCAGCATCAGCATCAGCGCATCAGCATCAGCATCAGCATCAGCATCAGCATCAGCATCAGCACATCAGCATCAGCGCATCAGCATCAGCATCAGCGCATCAGCATCAGCATCAGCGCATCAGCATCAGCGCATCAGCATCAGCATCAGCATCAGCGCATCAGCGCATCAGCATCAGCATCAGCATCAGCATCAGCATCAGCATCAGCATCAGCATCAGCATCAGCGCATCAGCGCATCAGCATCAGCATCAGCATCAGCATCAGCGCATCAGCATCAGCGCATCAGCATCAGCATCAGCATCAGCATCAGCATCAGCGCATCAGCATCAGCGCATCAGCATCAGCGCATCAGCATCAGCATCAGCATCAGCATCAGCGCATCAGCATCAGCGCATCAGCATCAGCATCAGCATCAGCATCAGCATCAGCATCAGCATCAGCGAATCACCATCAGCGCATCAGCATCAGCATCAGCGCATCAGCGCATCAGCATCAGCATCAGCGCATCAGCATCAGCGCATCAGCATCAGCATCAGCATCAGCGCATCAGCATCAGCGCATCAGCATCAGCATCAGCATCAGCATCAGCATCAGCGCATAACCATCAGCGCATCAGCATCAGCATCAGCATCAGCGCATCAGCATCAGCATCAGCATCAGCATCAGCGCATCAGCATCAGCATCAGCATCAGCATCAGCATCTGCATCAGCATCAGCATCAGCATCAGCATCAGCATCAGCATCAGTATCAGCATCAGCATCAGCATCAGTATCAGCATCAGCGCATCAGCATCAGCATCAGCATCAGCGCATCAGCATCAGCGCATCAGCATCAGCATCAGCATCAGCATCAGCATCAGCGCATCAGCATCAGCGCATCAGCATCAGCATCAGCATCAGCATCAGCATCAGCATCAGCATCAGCGCATCAGCATCAGCGCATCAGCATCAGCATCAGCATCAGCGCATCAGCATCAGCATCAGCATCAGCATCAGCATCAGCATCAGCACATCAGCATCAGCGCATCAGCATCAGCATCAGCGCATCAGCATCAGCATCAGCGCATCAGCATCAGCGCATCAGCATCAGCATCAGCATCAGCGCATCAGCGCATCAGCATCAGCATCAGCATCAGCGCATCAGCATCAGCATCAGCATCAGCATTAGCATCAGCATCAGCGCATCAGCATCAGCATCAGCATCAGCACATCAGCATCAGCATCAGCATCAGCATCAGCGCATCAGCATCAGCATCAGCATCAGCATCAGCGCATCAGCATCAGCATCAGCATCAGCATCAGCATCAGCATCAGCGCATCAGCATCAGCGCATCAGCATCAGCATCAGCATCAGCGCATCAGCATCAGCATCAGCATCAGCATCAGCATCAGCATCAGCATCAGCATCAGCGCATCAGCATCAGCGTCAGCGCTTCAGCATCAGCATCAGCGCATCAGCATCAGCATCAGCATCAGCATCAGCATCAGCGCATCAGCATCAGCATCATCATCAGCATCAGCATCAGCATCAGCGCATCAGCATCAGCATCAGCATCAGCATCAGCATCAGCGCATCAGCATCAGCATCAGCATCAGTATCAGCATCAGCATCAGCATCAGCGTCAGCATCAGCATCAGCGCATCAGCATCAGCGCATCAGCATCAGCATCAGCATCAGCATCAGCGCATCAGCATCAGCATCAGCATCAGCATCAGCATCAGCACCAGCATCAGCATCAGCATCAGCGCATCAGCATCAGCATCAGCGCATCAGCATCAGCATCAGCATCAGCATCAGCATCAGCATCAGCATCAGCATCAGCGCATCAGCATCAGCGCATCAGCATCAGTATCAGCATCAGCATCAGCATCAGCATCAGCATCAGCATCAGCCCATCAGCATCAGCATCAGCATCAGTATCAGCATCAGCATCAGCATCAGCGCATCAGCATCAGCATCAGCGCATCAGCATCAGCGCATCAGCATCAGCATCAGCATCAGCATCAGCATCAGCATCAGCGCATCAGCATCAGCATCAGCATCAGCGCATCAGCATCAGCGCATCAGCATCAGCATCAGCATCAGCATCAGCGCATCAGCATCAGCGCATCAGCATCAGCATCAGCATCAGCATCAGGATCAGCATCAGCATCAGCATCAGCAAGCGCATCAGCATCAGCGCATCAGCATCAGCACATCAGCATCAGCATCAGCATCAGCATCAGCGCATCAGCATCAGCGCATCAGCATCAGCATCAGCATCAGCGCATCAGCATCAGCGCATCAGCATCAGCATCAGCATCAGCGCATCAGCGCATCAGCGCATCAGCATCAGCATCAGCATCAGCGCATCAGCATCAGCGCATCAGCATCAGCATCAGCATCAGCATCAGCGCATCAGCATCAGCGCATCAGCATCAGCATCAGCATCAGCATCAGCATCAGCATCAGCGCATCAGCGCATCAGCGCATCAGCATCAGCATCAGCGCATCAGCATCAGCGCATCAGCATCAGCATCAGCATCAGGATCAGCATCAGCAGCATCAGCATCAGCATCAGCATCAGCGCATCAGCATCAGCATCAGCATCAGCATCAGCATCAGCGCATCAGCATCAGCGCATCAGCATCAGCGCATCAGCATCAGCGCATCAGCATCAGCGCATCAGCATCAGCATCAGCATCAGCATCAGCGCATCAGCATCAGCATCAGCATCAGCATCAGCATCAGCGCATCAGCATCAGCGCATCAGCATCAGCATCAGCATCAGCATCAGCATCAGCGCATCAGCATCAGCGCATCAGCATCAGCATCAGCATCAGCATCAGCGCATCAGCATCAGCGCATCAGCATCAGCATCAGCATCAGCATCAGCGCATCAGCATCAGCGCATCAGCATCAGCATCAGCATCAGCATCAGCATCAGCATCAGCGCATCAGCATCAGCATCAGCATCAGCATCAGCATCAGCATCAGCATCAGCATCAGCATCAGCGCATCAGCATCAGCATCAGCATCAGCATCAGCATCAGCATCAGTGCATCAGCATCAGCATCAGCATCAGCATCAGCGCATCAGCATCAGCATCAGCATCAGCATCAGCGCATCAGCATCAGCGCATCAGCATCAGCGCATCAGCATCAGCATCAGCATCAGCATCAGCCTCACATGAACCGCCTCACTTGCTTTCTCTCCATGTGTACCTCCTCCTCACCTCGCCCTCTCCTCCCACAGGTACGACTCCAGCAAGACGTTTTTTCAGTCCGTGGAGCTCTGAGAGCCCACATGGACCTCCGTCCACCACCCTGCCTTGTCGCCCCCTTGCACGGCATGTCCTCCCTCACATGCCACCTCTCTTTTTCCTCACTGTGCCCTCTTCCCCCCCAGGTACGACTCCAGCAAGACGTTTGGGCAGAACGTGGAGCTCTCAGAGCCCATCCTCTCGCGCTTTGACTGCCTGCTCGTCATCAAGGTGTGTGTGCGTGTGATGTGCGTTATCAAGGTGTGTGTGCGTGTGATGTGCGTTATCAAGGTGTGTGTGCGTGTGATGTGCGTTATCAAGGTGTGTGTGCGTGTGATGTGCGTAATCAAGGTGTGTGTGCGTGTGATGTGCGTTATCAAGGTGTGTGTGCATGTGATGTGCGTTATCAAGGTGTGTGTGCGTGTGATGTGCGTTATCAAGGTGTGTGTGCGTCTGATGTGCGTTATCAAGGAGCATGGGTGATGTACTGCACATGTGGTGGGCATGCTGTGTGGAGCTCTCAGATCCCATCCTCTCGCGCTTTGACTGCCTGCTCGTTATCAAGATGTGTGCATGATGTGAAAACCCCTCATACCCCTCATGCTCCTCATTCCTGTGATATTACTTCTCACCACAGACCCCCGCTTCTCGCTTCGCCTCTCGGTGCACACAACCCACTTCAGGACCCAGTGGTGGATGAGCACTTGGCGCGCTTTGTGGTAGTAATGGCCACGCCACAGCTCACACCCTCCTCCCCTTCCCTGTCTGTGCTCCCACCCACACCAGGATCTCGTGGACCCATTTGTGGATGAGCACTTGGCGCGCTTTGCTGTGATGGCCACGCCACAGCTCTCATACGGTCTTCCCCTCCTTCTCCCGCGTTCATTTCTGCGTGCCTTTGCACAACCCTCACACCTCTCACACCTCTCACACCTCTCACACCTCTCACACCTCTCACACCTCTCATAACGCTCACACCTCTCATACCTCTCACACCTCTCATACCTCTCACACCTCTCATACCTCTCATACCTCTCACACCTCTCATACCTCTCACACCTCTCACACCTCTCACACCTCTCATACCTCTCACACCTCTCACACCTCTCATACCTCTCATACCTCTCACACCTCTCACACCTCTCACACCTCTCATACCTCTCACACCTCTCACACCTCTCACACCTCTCACACCTCTCACACCTCTCACACCTCTCACACCTCTCACACCTCTCATACCCCTCACACCCCTCATACCCCTCACACCCCTCATACCCCTCACACCCCTCATACCCCTCACACCCCTCATACCCCTCACACCCCTCATACCCCTCACACCCCTCATACCCCTCACACCGCTCATACCCCTCACACCCTCTCATACCCCTCACACCCCTCATACCCCTCATACCCCTCATACCCCTCACACCCCTCATACCCCTCACACCCCTCATACCCCTCACACCCCTCATACCCCTCACACCCCTCATACCCCTCACACCCCTCACACCCCTCATACCCCTCACACCCCTCTTCAGGATCTAGTGGATCCAGTGGTGGACGAGCATTTGGCGCGCTTTGTGGTGGGCAGCCATCAGAAGTCACACCCGCAGGCGCATGGGCATGGAGGGGACGGGCAAGCGAGAGAAGAGGACCCTGATGTGCGTATGCATGCTGACCAGAACAGGTTTTGCCATTCATAAGTTAGCTTTGTGGTGGGCAGCCATGAGAAGTCGCACCCGCAGGCGCATGGGCATGGGGGGCATGGGCCAGGTTGGAAGGAATAGGACCCTGATGTGCGTGTGCATGCTGATCCCTTTCAAGGGAGCAGGTATTACTGTGCCATGCTGGAATAGCTTTTGAGGCGCCTCTTGGGAGCAGGTATTACTGTGCCATGCTGGAATAGCTTTTGAGGCGCCTCAAGGGAGCAGGTATTACTGTGCCATGCTGGAATAGCTTTGTGGTGGGCAGCCATCAGAAGTCGCATCCGCAGGCGCATGGGCATGGCAGCGACGGGCCGGCTTCGAGGGAAGAGGACCCTGATGTATGTATACACGCACACCCTAGGTATTGCAGTACTAGATGAGCTTTGTGGTGGGCAGCCATCAGAAGTCAAGCCCGCAGGCGCATGGGCATGGGGGGGATGGGCAAGCGAGAGAAGAGGACCCCGATGTACGTGTGCATGGTGACCACTTAAGTACTTTGAGGTGTTGCAGCTATGTGGTGGGCAGGGCAGCCATCAGAGGTGGCACTTGCAGGCCATGGGCATGGGGCGGATGGGCAGTCAATGAGGGAGGACCCTGATGTACAGAGAGGCCCCCATCTCATGCAGGCCCTCCCATTCTGCATGTGCACTCCTGTGGCTTCCCATGCTACCTGCCGACCTTCCTCCACTGCATTCTCTCTCTCCACTGCAGGTCATCCCGCAGGAGCTCCTAAGGAAGTATGTCACCTATGCCCGCCAGAACGTCTTCCCTCGCATGCACGATGCTGATGCCGACAAGATCGCCCTCGTTTATGCTGACCTGCGCCGCCAGTCACTGGTAAGTTAGGGGTGGGGGGGTGGTGACTGGCGCATACATATATTGATACATACAGACGTACATATTGCAATGGAGCCAAACGTCTTTCCTCTTCTTCCCTCCTTTTCCCAACCACCAGCAAGGGCAGGGCGTGCCAATAGCGGTGCGCCACGTGGAATCAATGATCCGCATGGCAGAGGCGCACGCCAGGATGCATCTGCGGCCGTTCGTCACCGACGATGACGTGGACACCGCCATCCGTGTTCTGCTGGAATCGTTCATTGGGACTCAGAAGTATGGGGTGCAGCGCGCACTGGAGAAGGTAAGGCCGCATGGGGAAGTGACACGGTGACAGGGAAGTGGGGTCTTGGTTCGTCACGGATGATGATGTGGACACCGCCATCCGCGTGCTGCTGGAATTGTTTATTGGCATGCAGAAGTACGGCGTGCAGCGGGCGCTGGAGAAGGTACGAATGGCTGGCTGTAAGCTTTACAGTACTGTTCTGTTCTGCCACTCTAGGTGCTTCTGGATTCGAGTATTTGCACCTGCTGAGGCAGCAGCTGTTACTAATACCTAAGCAACATGTCCCTTCCCATCCTCCCTATCCCTCTGTATCCCTTTCAACCCCCCAGTCCTTCAGTCGCTACGTGTCGCACCCCCGGGATCTGCACCAGCTGCTGCTGGACCTGCTGAGGCAGCAACAACTTCCCCTGCACCCAGCCACCTTCCCACATTTTCCCTCTCCCCTCTCCCCCCATCCCCCTCTCCCTCTCCCCACTCCTTCAGTCGCTACATACATGTCGTACCGCCGAGACCTGCACCAGCTGCTGCTACACCTGCTGAGGCAGCAGCTGCCGATGATGCCTACACACATATCTCCCCTTCCTATCCCTCCGTACCCCTCCCTATCCCTTGCAGTCTTTCAGTCGCTACATGTCGCACCGGCGGGATCTGCACCAGCTGCTGCTGCACCTGCTGAGGCAGCAGCTGAGGGAGGCGCTGAGGCTGAGGGACCTGGGGTGGACCCAGCCCAGCCGGCGAGGGGGAGGGGCGGCAGGCGAGGGGAAGAGGTGGTGGAAATGCGAGTGGATGAGCTGGAAGCCAAGGTGAGACGGTCTTTCTTTGAATAAATTGCCTGCACTAGCAGTTGCTGCACAGCAGGTGCAGTATGAGGCGGAGGGACCTGGGCGGTAGGCGAGGGGGAAGAGGTGGTGGAGATGAGAGTGGATGAGCTGTAAGCCAAGGTAAGATGCACAATGTGGGGTGCAGGCAATGTGGGATGGATGGAGGCATACCTTGGGTGGAGCGAGGTGTATGCTCCTCATTGCCTCTTAGCTCATCTGTCCCTGCAGTACCCAGTGATGTATCCTCACACTCACGAGCACGGGATGCCACCAGTGACGTACAGCTCTTTCTTACTAGTGAACCCATCATGATCTTCCATGCTTTCTCCTCGTCCCTCTTCTCCCATTCGCTCCATCCTGTCTTTCCAGACTCGTGAGTACGGCATAGTGGATTTGACCTTTTTCTTTGCCAGCTGTCACTTCACTGACAACCATTTCACCCTCAACACGCTCCTCCCACCCTCCCCTGTTTCTGTTGTTTCCCACCTTCCTTCCCCCCACCTCCCTCCCCTACTGTCAGGCTCGAGAATATGGCATAGTGGATTTGAGCTCTTTCTTTGCGAGCCGCCACTTCACAGACAACCACTTCACCCTCGATACACTCCACCGCGTCGTGCTGCACCCCGTGGTGTAGACACGGTGCACCCTGCACCAAATGGTGTAGATGCACAGTGCACCCTACACGACTAGGGGTGCACGCTGGTGGAGATACAGAGTGTACCCTGCACCACAAGATGCTGACAGCGGGTGCACCCTGGTGTAGTCAGATAGTGCCCCCAATACCAAGAGGTGTACAACAGCTTGTCATCATTACAATCTCTCTGCATCCTCAACACGTTAGTTCGCCTCTCTTCACCGGACGCCGTTACACTAACTGCCTCACACTCCATGCGCTGCATACCATAGTGTACCATGGTGCTACTGCTGCTGCTGCCACTGCCACTGCCACTGCTGCTGCTGCCCCTATCCTTGTAGCCTGAGAGGCATTTCGGAGAAGGATTGCCCATATGAAGGGCGTGGCGTGGAGTTGTGCAGCACGGTCAGCTAGAAGCACCCTAATACCACCTTAATACTCATTGATCTCAACAGCTTGTTTCTACATGCTGTACTAACACAATTTGTGGTTTGTTTAGATGTGGCTGGTCTTCTATTACCGTAGCATAATCATTGCTGCTGGAAAAAATCAGAGATTTACCCTCCCAGGGCTCTTTCTTTGCCATCTTGTCATACCATGAGAAAGGTACATGGCTTACAAAAATGGTTTCATATACCTTGGATTAAATACAGGTCTGGGACAAGTTAATGCAGCCGCACAACCCATCATTGGTCCAGCTGCCACCGTGCATGCGCAAGCAGGCACATGCACACTAACTGGTGTGAAGAAAGCAAAGCTAAGCACCCTCTGTTGATGCACAGAGCATGCAGTAAAGCACTTCCAACACAGGATAGGCTCTTCGCATTAGGAAGACCCCTGTCAGCGATCCCATCTACCAACCTGCTGAAATGGTTCAAGAATATGACTGCACTAAGCTACCACTATGGCGGTATGAATGGCGACAGATGGATGGTGTGAGACGGAATGGATTCGGTGGGTGGTTGGGTGGTGCAGAATGGTTGAACAGAGTGGGGATGATGGTGGTGATGATGATACGCTCCAGTGACTGGCACACCCGCGGGTGTGGCTGGCAATGGCAAGGTCCTTCCTTGTTGTCTTCCCCCTTGACCATCCACATCAACTAATGTATAGTGTTGGCCTTCCATCACCACCAGCCTACATGGACTCGTGGAAGGTGCGCGAGATGACGTCGAGCTGCTGGTCGCGGGTGAGGCAAGTGAAGTGCACAGCGTAGCCACACAGATCATCAGCTGCGGAGTCATGTGACGGCCTTCTCCTTTCCCCTTCCCCCTTATCACACCACCACTCTACATGGACTCGTGGAAGGTGCGCGAGATGACGTCGAGCTGCTGGTCGCGGGTGAGGCAAGTGAAGTGCACAGCGTAGCCACACAGATCATCAGCTGCGGAGTCATGTGACAGCCTTCTCCTTTCCCCTTCCCCCTTATCACACCACCACTCTACATGGACTCGTGGAAGGTGCGCGAGATGACGTCGAGCTGCTGGTCGCGGGTGAGGCGGGTGAAGTGCACCGCATAGCCCGACACGCGGATGGTCAGCTGCGGGTACTGCTCGGGGTGCTCCATGGCGTCCAGTAGCGTCTCGCGGTTGAGTGCATTCACGTTCAGATGGAAGGCCCTGCAATGGAAAGAGAGGGAGCAAGCAATGGAGACAGACAATGAGAAGCTGAGGGTACTGCTTGGGGTGCTCCATGGCATCTAGTAGCGTCTGAACGTGCGAATCTCATGGAAGGGCATGGTATCTCATGGCATGTCAGCATCTTCTGGACATCAAAACCTCTAGGTAATGGCGGCTCACCCCTGGTTGAAGTGTCCATCAAGAATGCGGACCATGTTGGACGCGCGCATGTCATCATCCTTCCCTAGCGCGGACGGTACCATCGTGAACGTGTTGCTAATCCCGTCCAGGCACGACTCACCCCTATGGCAGGCCTAGGGAAAAACCGAGCGACTCACTCACCCTTGGTTGAAGTATCCATCGAGGATCTGAACCATGTTGGACGTGCGTGTGTCATCGTCCTTCCCCAGCGCGGACGGCACCATCGTGAACGTGTTACTGATCCCATCCAAACACGATTCGTACGGCAGCTTCGCGACGGAGTTGAGCGACGCGAGCGCGCCCTCCACGTCGCGCCCGTGCAGCGGGTTCGCGCCCGGCGCAAACGGCTCGCCCTTCTTGCGCCCGTCGGGAGTGTTGCCCGTGTGCTTGCCGTACACCACGTTCGACGTGATCGTTAGCACGGATAAAGTGTGCTCCGCGCCGCGGTACGTCTTGTGCGCGCGCAGCTTCGCCATAAACGTCTCCACCAGCCACGACGCAAGCGAATCCACTTCCTCCACGTCATTCCCGAATTTCGGGAAATCGCCTTCGATCTTAAAGTCCGTGACGAGCCCGCGGTCGTCCTTAATCGGCGTCACCTTGGCGTGCTTAATCGCCGAGAGCGAGTCCGCCGCGACGCTCAGCCCCGCGACGCCGAACGCGACTAATCTCCCCACGTGCGTGTCGTGCAGCGCCATCTGCACGCGCTCGTAGTTATACTTGTCGTGCATGTAGTGAATAATATTCATCGTGTTCACATACAGCCCCGCGAGCCACTCCATGGCCGTCTCGTACCGCGCCATCACGTCGTTAAACTCCAGCGGGCCGTCCGGCAGCGGCGCGAACTGCGGCGCGACTTGCACGCCGCTCACCTCGTCCTTGCCCTGGTTCATCGCGTACAGCAGCAGCTTCGGCAGGTTGCAGCGCGCGCCAAAGTACTGCATGTGTTTCCCGATCGCCATGGCCGACACGCAGCACGCGATCGCCGTGTCGTCGCCGAACAGCGGTCGCATGACGTCGTCGTTCTCGTACTGGATCGACGACAGGTCGAGCGACAGCTTCCCGCAGAATCGCTTGAAGTGCTCCGGGAGTTTCGGCGACCAGAGGACCGTTAGGTTGGGCTCGGGCGCGGGGCCGAGGTTGCGAAGTGTCTGGAGGATACGATACGCGGTTTTGGTAACCATGTGTCGCCCGCCTTCGCCCTTGGTGAGCCCGCCAACGACGGCGGTCACCCACGTGGGATCGCCCGCGAACAGGTTGTTGTAGTCGGGCGTGCGCAGATGGCGCACCAAGCGCAGCTGGTGGCGGAAGCGGGGACGGAAGGGGAAGTGCACGAAGCGGGCAGCGGGCGGAACAGGAAACGGGGGAAAGGTGAGACTTTGTGGCTTTTCAACAAAGCAGGTGCGAGAAGAGACGCAGCTGGGGATGCGGGGAGACTCCGGCACAAGAGAGAGTAATATCGAGCAACGCGTATCCTAGAACCGAGGTCGTCAATAACGCGTACCTTAATAACGAGGTCGTCGATGAGCTCCTGCGCCTGCTCCTCCGTGAGCGCCCCGCTCTTGAGGTCCTTCTCGAAGTACACGTCGAGGAACGCATCCACGCGCCCCAGCGACATCGCCGCGCCGTCCTGCTCCTTAATCGCCGCTAGGTACCTGGCAATGGACACCAAGCAGGGAGAGAAGAATCACGGCAAGTGGTTTCTTAGCGCGAGAATCCTCTAAAATTTCTCTGCGATTCCTCTGCTGCTGCGGCTGCTGAATTCACGAACGAATGATGCGAGAGCGGTGCTCGTTACACTCACGCGAAGTACAGCCACTGCACGGCCTCGCGAGCGTTAGTAGCGGGTCGGCTTATATCGTATCCGTAGTTCTTCGCCATAGCCTTGAGCTCCTCGAGCGCGCGAATCTGCTCCGCAACCTCCTCGCGCAGCTGGATAACCTCCTCCGTCATTTCCGGGCCCAGAGCCGCCTTATCCGCCTCCTTCGCCGCAATCAGCGCGTCGACTCCGTAGAGCGCGACGCGGCGGTAGTCGCCGATGATGCGGCCTCGGCCGTACGCGTCGGGCAGGCCTGTCAGGATGCCCTCGCGCCGCGCAACCAGCATCTCTGGCGTGTACGCGTCAAAGACTCCCGCATTATGCGTCTTCACGTATTTCCTGCACAGATAACGGTCACGCAGGCAAGAACAGGAACGGAATAAGCTTTACGGGAACGACGCATCCTCACAGCAAACCACCACACAGAAGAGCAAACTTAAAAGCTTGTCCGTCTGCGCACTTACATAAATACCTCGCGCACTCTCTCGTCGACCGGATAACCGTAACTCTCGAGGGCCGCCTCGACCATGCGCCAGCCGCCCTTGGGCTTGATCATGCGCTTGAGCGGCGCGTCCGTCTGAAAGCCGACAATGAGGTCCTTCTCCTTGTCCAGATACCCCGGGCCGTGCGACACGATCGACGCGGGTGTAGACGGATCGCAGTCCAGCACACCCTTGTCGTGCTCGATCTTGAGCAGCTCGCAACACTTGTCCCAAATCTGCCCGTGCATCGTGATCACGCGGGGAGAGAGGGGAAGCAGTGGAGTGGGGGAGGGAGGTAACGAGGAACGGAACGCGATGAAATTCGCGCGAAAGGTGATAGATTCACATGAAAATTGGAGTTACGTTCCAGGTACCGCCGCGTGCAGCTCATATGAGTGTCCATGGCGTTTTTACCTACTTGCGAAAGGTTTGCGTGTCGATAGAGAGTGGAACAAGATTGAGTGTGACGCACCTCGGTGGTTCGGGCGGTGGGCCCGGCGAGGAAGCTATCGTCGCCGTCGTACGGGGTGTAATTCTTCATGATGAACGACGCCACGTCGACGCGGCCGGGCTCGCTGGCCGCCACGTGGGCGTCGCTCTCTTCCACCTCAGCGGGCTGCCCCGCGTGACGCACATCCGTGGAAATCGAACGCGCCGCGAACGGCTGAAGCGTGGGAACGTGGCCGATCTGCGGCGACCGCTGTGAGGGGAAGGGCTTCGGCGCGGAAGCGGAAGCGGACGGGGCGGAGCAATTGCGGAAAAGGCACTCGGTGCAGTCCTCGCAGCCCATGCCGCAGGGTGAGTTGGTGACGGTGCATAGCAAGCCCGACACGCTTGTCGGCTGCGCGGTGGATGTAGATGAGGGGCGCGTTAACGGGA